GTGCTGGCATACTGAACTGGCTTTCTGCACTTTAATGACGTGATACACTAATCCTCTGTAATTTTTCAACAGAAGGGAAAAATCAAACTTCTTGGGTTTGAATCTCTTGCTTGCATAATGGGAAGAAAGCAAGGAGGAATTTACTGGAATAATCCGGAAGTTGCAGTTTTGTTGGGCTCTGTCCCCAGAAGCACAGAATCGCTGTGTGTCAGCCCTGAAATGTCATATAAACAGTGCTTCGCAACTCCCGTAAATGGTTTCCTGACTTTGTTAAAGGAAGTGGGCTGTCTACTTAAAGCTCTTGTCTGGGTCACGGTGACTAAACCTTACTGCAGCATGCCTTTTTGAAGGTTTGGGTTTGTTTTAAATCGGAAACATTCCCATAAGCCTCAACAAATAACAAGGGCGTAGAACATAATATACGTCCTTTGATCCGTGGAAGTGCAGAGATGTCTCGCCAAGAGATGTAGTCCAATTCACCTGTACGCTAATCCACTAATGCTGACAGGAGTTAGGAGACTAGTTCTATCGTGTAATACTGCAAACGTTAGTCATAAATGTTTGTAGAAAATACTGGGAAAAAAGTACTGGGAATTATTAGAATGTGAATCACTTTCAGCTATAAATATCCGGCTTCAAACTCCAGAGATCCCCTGGGTCAAATTCTCCTTGTCTTGCACCCACTGCAACCGCCTCGATCTCTTGGTCCTGTTCAGGACTCATTAGCTAATTGCTAAAGGGAAAACAAAAACCTGTATTAAGGCAGCTATTCATATTAGGTACCAAACACGTATATTCTGCAGCCACTCCTGACACATATAGATGTCTGTATAACTGTTCACCATGCCGTGTGTTGTTGTTTGCATGAACTTAATTGAACATACTCACACAGAACACAATTATTCTGATACACTAAGCTACTCTACATGTGATTAAAAAATAACAATGTGTCCTGGGAACAGTTAGCAAAACTGCCAGAATGCAGATAAAACCTGTCTTATTAAAATGCAAAAAATCAGCATTTATCTTTCCTGTTATACCTGTGGGGGCCATTACACGCAATAATGAAAAGATGTCCCTTGAAATGGCATTGCTTTTTAATGAGGCTTTTACCCATTGCATCATAATCTCCGTTTTATTAATTACAAGCAGAAATGGCTTCCTAAACCCTGTAACTGCTGAGCACAAGCGGCTTCTAAAGCTGAGCATTCCCAGTCAGTACTCAGACTTGGGCGATTCAGCAAGTGTCGGGCTACAGCTAAGTTAAGGATGTGGGTTGACTCTACAAGCCAAGCATGTGAAGATCCAGCAAGGACATTTGCACATCACGGTGTCAGCTCCTGGGCAGTTCCGTGACATGTTCCATAGCACTTTAATTGTTTACAATCTTCTGGCTGACAAAAAACAACTAGGACACCCGTCGTGATTACTTGCTGATTATTATTTGGCCCCATGGACACTATGTGCTTTCCTTTTACTCTGGCACTTGTCTTCATTCAGAGCGTGAAGAGCCAGACACTAACTGCTGGTGCTGGGCTCTAGCTCTGACTCACTTGCCCTATCCTATACTCAGTGGTACTCAGAAAATCCCACGGTGAAGAGACTCAACTCTTGTGTTTCAGTAAAAGCCTGGCTTTTCCCTTCATCTGCCTAATTACTCATATCCTCCTGAGCTTTTGACCAACAAACCACTCTTGGTCAAAGCAATTTGGCAAACATGATCCATTATCACGGCTACCACTGCTTTACTAGTATTCAGGGCTTTACTGTACATTTGACATGGGAACTAGTTTATTCTACAACAGGGGGAAACATCTATTTCTGCAAACTGTCACTCAAGGAGCTGTTTAAAACTTGACAGCTCTGAGATTAGTTTTATGATAAAATACTAAATCATTGCCCACACAAAGGTGAATGGTTCAGGCTGTCAATCCGAAGTCTCATAACATGCACCAAAATATGGGGTTCAGGGGGCCAAAGGGGAGCTAACAAAACATTATTAAAGTTGGAAAACTAAGTAATCTAAAGCAAGGAAATTCCAATATGAGTTAGCCCCCACCAGCTCCAAACCTCCCTTTCCTTTTCTAAATTCAGTTTATCTTTTCTTGTCCTTATGCCCCAGGTAATTTCATCTCTGCATTTTATGCTGGTGGCTTTCTCTCAGGTAATGCCTGAATATCAAAAGAGAGGAGAGAAGGAGAGAAAGAAGCTGACTGTTCTTTGTTTTAGTGACGAAACTGAAACTGTGGGGACTTTCTGAGGTATATAAAGGAACACCTTACAGTGACATTAAACTGAGAAGCTGTACTAAGTCTTTCCTGATTACGTGTGCTACAATTTTTCAGAGCTTGACCATTTTCAGACAGATTTTCATAGCCACCTCTGTATTTACAAAGGCACTACATCAAAACCTACAGACACTATAACTTCTTAGAGAAAAGCTTGCCAATGATTTTTAAATGGGCAAACCCATTTATTTTTCCCTAGCTTTTTTCTTGGAAATTGCTGAACTGTTTGGCTAAAATGTTCCAAAATGCAGCCTGAGTCAGATAGCATGGAAACTATCATCACTAATGACTGAAGTTTGGCAAGACTGTAAATAGCAGAGTTCAGGTCTCAGTATTAGTCAATCTTAATTATAGGTGGGGCTATCAAACCATCCTAGATGATAAATTGCCATAACTTCCATTTCACAGCTTGAAAGCCTCTGATCTTTGTGGGAGGCAGGTTGGCAGTAGAGTCCTTTACAGATGAGCGCAGCACCCGGAGGTTCCCCAAGGTCATGCGGTAGCTGCTGATGGATCTAGGATGGCATTCAGGAGGGCTGACCTCAGATCTCCCCTGTAACCACAGGCTGTCCTTGATTTTGCTTGGCTCAGTAATGCTTCCTCTCTCTCAGTCACATCACCCTCCCGTACTTCACTGTTGTCTCTCTCTGACTTCTCTTCCCCTTCTTCTCTTTCCTTGGCTTCCCTTCCCACAGTATTTCAGCCTTTACCCTCACACTTCCCCTGGACATCTGACTCTCCGAGAGTTTAACCCAGTTTGGCTGCCTTGGAGGAGAGGTATGGTTTCCATTCCGGGAGGCAATGGTGCTGGGCACATATTCCCTCCCCACGGTCACCCTCTTCACCTCAAGCTTCTTGACTTCTGGTTG